TTTGAAAATCCTCCTTGGAGTTTTCTAAACTTCTTTGATGTTTTCACCCTGACCGCATAAATGAAATCTTTATTAAAAAGAAAGGTGATTGGGACTACTCTTGTAACAATGATAAAGAATGCCTGACAGATTTACTTTTCTTCTAGGCAACTTTCCAGCCAAAGTCAACAGCTATCAAGAAATCTATCTCTGAATTCATGTTGGAGGATATAACTCGCTAATTAAGTTCTCCTCAGACGTTTCAAGGAACATGCAGATTTTCAGTCTGATCCACTCCAAACACTTCTCTACAGAGATACTACAATTGAGTATAACTGAATAAATTGAGGTTTCTTTTCTTTTTAAGGCATCTGCGATCTAAGTTCTAGCATCCTAGTTCATGGTAAATAGTCTTCCTTGATAGATGAGTAACTAATTTTCACAGTAACTTCCACCATTTTAAGGTTCACTTAGGTGCATTCCTAAATACTGTGCCCTGGCAATCCTCCAACTTATTAACCTAGAAATGTTAAGTACCTATGTACCCTCTGCTACTCCAATAAAACAGCTTTTAGTAAAAATGCTTGAAGACAGACAGGATACTTTGATGAATTAGCACACTCAGAATAACATACAATGGCAGTGCTGTCCTCATGCTCCTCATAACTTGTCCACAATCCCCTGGATTTGACTAAAATCCTGTCTAGAAAGCTACATATTCATTCCACAACCACAGAGTTGTCAAGAATAGATGGCTCACGGAAATACTGCAGAGAATCATCATATGGGAGCATGCTGCTACCTAATATACCCATACCCAGAAGTTTTATTTATTCAAAGTCTGTATTGCAACAACTACCGGCACACAATTTCAAACTGACAGCATGTGAACACTCGCCTACCTGCAAAAGGCCACAAATATACTTTAATCAAGATTATCAAACCACCTAAGGGCTGCAGTAGCAATGACATGCCAAAGCAGAGGAGATCTAATCAAGTACTGGACAACCAGGCTCTTCCACAAAACCCTCCCAGGAATCACTCTACTGATCACTGAAACCTCTTGCAGCCCCACATGTGTGGAGGAAGGTTTCTAGGTCTCCCCTGCCCTGGGCAACCACATCAATGCAGCAGATCCAGATGTTTTACACACGCTCAATTCACTCATGTACTGAAGTTTCTGTTAGGACAGCCCTACCCAAACCCAGACGTTACATAAAAGAGTTCAGTATGATCAACTGCATTATAATACAACCACATGAGATGATTAAAATAACTTTTTCCAGGTGCCAGATATCTGCCATAGTGTTTGGATAAAATCAGGAATATCTTATTCCTTGCTGAGCTTCTAATCCTGCCTCCTCAGAATATGTCAAAACCAATAACCATGGCAGACACTTACACTTGATATCTTTATTTTCTCAGTAGCATCAAAATCTACAAACTGCAGTTCTAGTTGTCTCCGTCTCCTGAACTGCCCTTCCTATCCGTTCATCCCCCACAGTCCTCCTCACCTCCCCCAACATGTTGACACAGGGGAGTTTTAAAAAGAAATCAGAATGAAGTACATTGCACAGAAGGGGGATTTATTTTAGCATAGGCACATAAGAAGAAGAAACACTGAGAAAACTACTTCAATGCAAGAACTCTATTAAGTTATCTCAGCTTCTATCCAAGTTGAGATACTTACTGCATAATATTTCAAGTCAAGTAATTTTTTTGAATGCAGAGTTAAGGTACCACAGTGCCTGTGTAGAACAAGGATTGCAGAAACTCAGTAATTTTGCAGGACATTTTACGTTGAACTGTGCGTGCCCAAAAACATTACAACAAGTAGTCTATTTAGGAACATGTGGCATAATGCAACCCGGCTCTTTCAAAACTACCCGTACAGGTATTACTTCTTTGAAAGGAAGTAATACCTCATCAGAATGGAGGGAGTATTGATCTGGTAAATGGCAAAATACAGCATCTTCCTAACCTTTCACCTTCACTTCTGTCACTATAACATATATTCAGAATATATTTTCTGAAGTGGTTTTTCCTTCTCTTTTTGTCCCATAGGATCAACAAAATGCTTACTGCATTACCAACAAAACAACCCATGCACCAAAATCTGACAGAAAACAACCTGGTAAAAAATTCAGACCATCAGAAAAATCTATGAAAAAAAAAAAAAAAAAAGGAAAACGTAAAATGCTTTTCTTTGTGAAAGAAAAAACAACAAAAAAAGATGAATTATAGAATGAGTATCTCATAGTGAACGCATGAAAATAATGCTCAATTACCAACCCAATGCAACAGTGAAAACTAAAGGAGCAGAGATGAAAAATACTACGTAAGGAGGCCAAACTATACCCAAAGCAACATAAAAATCTCTTACAGTCCTTCTAGAAGTTTTCTGTTTATAAAACAAAGAAGATATAGGACACTTATTTCAACCATGTAAATTTGCACTGCACCACAGTACCACAGTAAGTAATTTCAGATATGCTGCCTAAGTTTCTAAGACTGTTCCTGTCTGGTTTCAGACCTGCCTTATATAATAACCTTCATGAGATTCAGCACTCTCCATCAATTTCTCAGTACTCTCAGACAGCTCTCCTCACAGCTCATAAATACCACCCTTTCTTCACACCCTTCTCTCTCTTCGTTACTTTACCATCACAAATTCCAGAAACTTAGTTGATGACATCTAGCCCTGTAAGAACTAAAGAAAAAAAAAAAAAAAATCTTAAAAAAACCCCACAACAGTAAAACAAGGAAATGTAACTGCATTTTTACTTTAGTAACCTCTATCTCTTTGAAAAAAAAGTTAATTACAAAGTATAACAAAACTGCATATAAGGGTGACCAAAAAAATACACCACAAACTTGTTATCCTTGACTAAATGGTTTCTTACAGATACAAGGCATTAAAGATAACAAGAAACAAAAAATCCTCACAGTTGAAGTGAGAGGGGGAAGACCTTTCTCTTTTTCATGCATATAAAAATTTTTTAAAAAATCTCCAAAATTATTATGGGGAAAAAACCACTTTGGACTGGACTACACATTTATAAGGAAGCTCGTAACGAGATCGAGTAGCATAGTATCCTTCCCAGGTGAGACCAACCTGAAGAAAAATTATTGGGGTTTTGTGGGGTTTTTTTCTTTGTAGCAGTCAAAATACTCTGTCAGTTCCAAACAATGCTCTGGTACTTGCTACTGGAATTGCCAGGGCAGGTTTACGTTGGACATTAGGAAAAATTTCTTCACAGAAAGGGTTGTCAGGCACTGGAACACGCTGCCCAGGGAAGTGGTGGAGTCCCCATCCCTGGAGGTATTTAAAAAGACAGGCAGATGAGGTGCTTAGGGACATGGTTTAGTGGTGGGATGGCAGGGTTAGGTTAACGGTTGGATTTGATGATCTTAAAGGTCTTTTCCAACCTAAACAATTCTATGATTCTATGGTAAAACTCTTGAGATATACACAAGTATGTTAGAATACTAGCACATTGCATACAAAAATTGCTTTCAATAAGTCAAGCACAGATCGCACATTTTATTGCCATCCATGCTCTTGAAATGGAACTGCAAAACAACCAGAGTTTGCATTTATTTTAATTGCAGATAATATTCTGAGCCATGCTGAAACATTCTACACCTATGGAGATACATACAATCGTTTATACTTCACCCTGAACTCTCTGAAAATGCAGGGAAAATAATTTACTAATCATCTATCACTTCTTCTAATAATGAGCCATTAGAACAAAGGCCAGAAAAAGCAATTCAAGCCACAAACTATTCTGAAATGCTTAACATGGGAAGAGTACAAACAACAGAAACTATTACAGCAGATGTTTAATTAATTGATCAATTTCTACACTCATTTACAGCAATCTTTAACCTAACTCTCCGAGACCATGTAAGAATGAAGAGTAGATGAATGGTTTTATTGTTGTAGTTTTTAAACTACACGGGTTATTTCTGAAAAAGTTACTTCAACTCCAAAACGGCTCGGTGCAAAAATGGCACTCATACAACTTCTGCTGGAGCAGGGGCTTTACAAGACAATATGAACAATTTCCCTAGGACCCTCCAACTGGACCTCTCCTTCCATATGCCAGAAGACACTTATTTCAGTTCACTCTTCTATCCTTTATTTACACCCTGCCTTTCTCCCTTTCTACCCTCCCAAAATGGGAGAAGTTGTCACAGGATTTTTCAGAACGTACTTACAGTTGCTATAAAATACAAACAACACAGAAAATGTTATTTCTCTAATACCAGTATATATGTGGTATTGATGCCTTTCCAGGGTGAGCCCTCCCTATTTGAAATACGCACTTACATACACTTTTAAGGAAAACAGATGCTTAAGACTACACAAGTACCTACTGTGTTATATGCTTTCCTGCACCTCTGTCTCAATCATGAGCCTCATATTATTTCATGTGACAATATAACAATGCCAACTATTTTTTACAATATCACTTTATTCATGTAAAGTCCCGATACCTCTACATGGACTTACAGATAAGACAGCTATACTAACAGGATTTTTTCCTGTCTTACATAAGAATGTTATCTAAAATACTGAGAGAGACTTTAAACAATTAGGCATCTGTGGAAAATAAAAAGCAACCTTTTTTCCCTAGTACCAAGTCCAAAGCCTGTGCAGCACTTTTCAAGTGGTCATGATTCTCTCAATACTCACACATATCCAAATATCCATGCTTACATAAGAAAAGCTGAAGTAACGGATGATAATAATTAAAAGAAAAAAAAAAAAAAAATCTAAAATGTGCCAAGTTAATTATCTGCCATTTCAACAAATGGTGTGAAGACTTATTTCCACTTACATTTATAATAAATTGTACATATAGGTGAACATTTCCATTAAGACCCAATTAATATGCCAAAAAGTAATTGCAGGTAGATATTCCAAACTTATATTGAAATTAATCTATTTTAGAAATTCAATCATTTACAACAATAAGTAAAAAAAAAAAAAAGATAAATCAGCATATACAGACCTTCCAGTAGTCAGATTGTAAACTGTAGTACCTCTGGTATGCAGATAATGCTGTAGGAAAGAAAAATGAATGTTGAATTTGTTTTGTTGCATTTTCTCTGAAGAAAAAGACAGAAAACCTTAAAAGTCAGAATACACAACATTAAAATGATAAATGGTTTAATAAAAGTAACACTGCCACAATAAGTACACTGTTGTGGGTAATGCATTCTTTAAGATTATAATTTTGCTTTATGAAATGTCAACCCAAAAGTATATTTATTATTAATCTTACAAATGTAAATCAAGCAATATTTTAAAGAAAACCTATAACAAAAGAAATCATTTGAAATTTTGGGATTTTCATCCTGGACAAAGCTGTTGTAAGATTTAAAAATTTAATCATGTAGCTCATTTACCATGCTCCCTGATGTCCTGTAATTTCTAAAGAACTGGTGCGGAGGGACATACAAAGAGAAATCAATTTCACATGCCCTTTCATTCAGTAACTAGAGAAACAAAAGCAAGCGAAAAAAGCTTACATTTTATTCAACATCTAAGACCAAGACTAACCTGGAAAACAGTGCTAAGAACAGCTCTTAGCTGTTATTTAGTAGAATATTAGCTCAGCTTAGTAATGAATGTCTCAAATCACCATTCCTGCATCCTATTCCCCACTAAAAATTCTGGTTGATTCATCTTCCTCAAGCTAACAGGCTGCATCAGACTAAAACGCAAACAGGCTTTACTTTCTTATAAGATCATTGCACTAGGCACCACACAAAAATGAAGAATTTAAAATAACAATTCACTGCAGTAACACCAAGATTTTGACTTTCCAAGTGTTTGTTTCTGAAGATTTAAGAATGGCTTCTACACAGATTGTATTTTCCAAAGAACAAAAGACAAACAATAAAGTTTGAAAAACTACAAACACTAAACAGATTAAGACGGTAAGAACAATATGGACTTTATTTGCAGGTTCATTTCCTGCAAGTGCCATGGATAAACCACGTCCTGAAACGTTATCACCTTTCAACGCCTGTCTTGCATATTAACTTCCATAACTGAACAAAACTCCTTAAGTTAAACAAAATAAGAACAACATAGACATAATGAGAAGGCACACAGAGCTTTCTGTTAAGAATATACCACCTTTGCACTCATCTGACTATGGAGACTCACAATCTTGTATTTTTAATTGCCTAACTGACAGATGCTGAATCATGCCCATAAGGTGCCCCTCACCACTGGAACTGCTTGTGAAGCCGGCTTCTAATTTTGGTGCTCTAAACTGTGATTTACTTAGATGCCTAGAGTAGAAAAAAACCTTAGGACACTCATCATTCTTACACTATCAACATGCAGTATGTGTAATTGGTTACATGCAACTTAGATGAATAAAATCACTTAAAAATCTAGTCAATCGGGCTGTCTTTCACAAGTGAAGAATACAATTCCTCCCCCACCCCCCAAATAAAATCTGGCACAAACTGAAGGATATGACTGCAGACTTAACAATGTAAGTTTAAGAATGTTAAGACTAAGCATATTTCAGTCACATTCTGTAATTATGTTACAGAGGATGTTCACGATAACACAAAATAACTTCCTACCCCAAACACTCCTTCTAGATTCACCTTCTCCCAGGTATCATTAATGACGTTTCTACAGAAAGGCATAATTTTTACCCAATTTTTACCCAAAATTTTTACCCAAAATTTTATCCCAATTTTAAAGGTTAAAGCATATTTTGAATACTTAAGTCAACAGCACCATATTAGGCAAGATTTAGGAAACTGAGAACTTCTTGTAATCTATTTTTCTTAAAAAAGTAACTATTGCAGGCAATTATACAGGGAATATGGATAAAATAAAAAGATGAGAAGAACATGAAATACAGTGCTAAGGATTTATACTGGAAAAATAAAAGGAAGAACTTTTTCAGCGTAGCCGTTAAAAAATATAGGAGTAGCCACATAAACATAGCTGTTAAACAAGAGAGCTGAACTATTTTTCTCTATAGCAGTTAAGGTACTGCTAGTAAGTCTATAAAACTTCGCCAGTTTAAAAAAAATACAAAAATATAGAAGCAATGGGAAGACCTAAAAAGGAAAAAAAAAAAAAAAAAAAAGGAAGAAAAAGAGGGGAAAAAGAAAAAAGCCTTAATGCTATTCAGTGATCAAGACATTCCTTATGCAATTACAGCAAAAAACGTGTACAGCTCAAGCCTTTCCTCTTGCTCCTAAGTCTAGCTAGTAAGAGCACATGCAGCCAGAGACAACAGAAGTGAGCAGGACTGAAAGAAGGGAGAGAAGACATCTGAAGGTATTCACTCATTCAGCCCTGATAAAGCCTCATGTCGGGGAGGAGGACGACTGGGAGGCACAGGAATCTAGGCTCCACTAATGTCACTGCTTGTAAAGAAACTTGCCCAGAGAAGTTCTAGCACCTCCATTTAACACAGGGATAAGTTCTTATATTAAAGAAAGGAGTCTTTGCTCCATGACATTCTACCAGTTTTCCTTAGAGTGTTGATGTTTGCAAGTTATTTTCTTTTCTAACTCTTCCATTCTTCGATAAATTTTACTAACTTCCCACAGTAACAGTTGAAATGACTGCTTTAATATGGCAGTCTCATGTTACAATTAAAAACAAGTACATGGAAAGCATGGACTGCTGAAGCATATTTCATGTTTACACAAGAAGGTGGTAAGGCCTTCATTCTAAGGAGGTTCACGTTACTCTTCCAGATGAAAAAGAAAGACACTACAGTCCTCCAGCCCAATACTACTTCTGGGTTCAGCAACTTCTTCTAGGGATCCAGCCTTTCCTTCTAGGGTAACAGTATTCTGCTTCTACTTAGGTTCTTGAAGATGAAATACTAAAATTCTCAGTGTCTTGTGGAAAATGCATAACAGTGAATCATGGAGGGATCCCTTACACAGGAGCACACATCCCTTTCCTCCTCATGAAAGTTAGACAACTAGAACTGTTATTGATGCACAGCTTCAGCATTTAACAAGTGCTCATCTTACAGTTAGTTACCTGTGAAAGTTTATGTCAGCCCTCTTTACATCTAGATTAAACATCTGCTCCACAAGCACTCAAGGTTGTGGGATTGAAGGAACAGGCAGAAAAACAGAAAAAAGGAATTCAAGAGAATGTTTTTTTGCCAGGGCCCACATGAAACATCCCTAATCAAGCATATCCCTAAGACAAATCTCGCATATAAGAGCCTAGAAATCAAATTATGAAAGCAAGATTTCTGAAGAACTAGTTATGGTTCATGTTCTACTGCTTTAAAACTAGTAGGTTGTTTAACAACCTACTAGTTTTAAAGCAGTAGAACATGAACCATAAATATGAACCCTATCATACTTTCTACTTCCTGAGCAAGTCACTGGTGAGCAGACATTTATCCTGAGTTCTATGGTGTAGAAATAGCGCATCTTATCTAAAAAGTGTATTATGGAACTACAAACAACTTCTCCCGTAAGTTTCTAACTATAAGAAATTAGTGCGAACCCCTCAAATTACTTTATTCTAGATTAAGAAGAAAAAGATGAGCAAGCGAATCTGCTGAGCAACAGAAATTTTCACAAGTCCCTATATGAAACACAAAGCTATGCTTCATCAGTGCTATGATTCAAATTATAGGATGATATTATCTGGTTTATTAAAAAGTGAAAAGAAAGTCACTTGCATCATGCATCACATTAGTAGTATTACCAAAAAAAAACAAAAACAAAAACCAAAAACCACCACAACAAAACAAAACAGAAAAACACCCAAAAACCCAAACAAAAAAAACCCCTCCAAACCACCTGAACACTAAAGGCTGCAATGTCATTTGCACCTTTAGTTTTCATCCAAGACTGGTCATGCCAAGGTCAGAATTTTTGTCAGAAAAAAAAATTCTTTCAACATAGGGTCAACTCTCATTTTTACAGATAAAAGCAAATTATTATTATTATAGCTCTTCAGATCAATCACAACCAGCTATATTGCTTGATGAGAACAAAATAATGTTTACCTAAAATAGCTCTGAAAAGAAAAACACCACCTTTCCACAGAAAGAATTAAAACTACTGGACAGCAAGAAACCTCCTCAGCTCAGGCTTGCTTCGGAATCTGTCTTTTAAGCCTCTGCTGCCTACTGCAGAGCTGATCCTCAATGAGTTCATACAGTCACAGTCTACTGGTTTCTTCTTAAAGGTTTTTACAGCCACCCAGAACTACCCATTTAGCAACATCTACGGTTACTTAACACTGACAGCCTTTATGATTTGCCCCCTAAGAGTCTGCCTTCCTCTCCTACTATGACTAGGGTCAAGGGACACCTCAGAATCAGGACAGGGATGATACTGGGTTTCTTACTCACCCCCATTTAAGATTCCTTGATTTGACATAGAGAACACAAAACAGCTTTTACATAATAACCATGTATGTGGTTTCAGGATGCTATTTTTTTAAATCTACGTAATTTCCTAAGAAAATGGTAAAACTCTGTAAACTATATAATTGTTTCAGTAATATGACAATCTCGCTTCATATCCAGAGTCTAAACACATAACCTAAGCAAATAAGCGAGGTGAAAATGGGGAGCAAAATGTCTAGAATGAATGGTATCTACCCACCTGTCATTTTTAGCACATCTAGTCACAAATCACGCAGTCACAAAGGATGGCTTTTATGATCTGCTCTAACAAACCTACTTTACAATACCTGAAAATTTAAGAGGCCTTTGAAAGTGATGCAAACATGGAGCACTTTGAGTACTTTAGTGCTTGAGTAAGGAAAAAGTGAACTAGATACTGACACCATCTAGTGGCACTTTGCAAGGCTAAATGTGACTAACAGATTTTTGGCAGTTAAGAGCAAGCATTAATTTGATAACATACCCCTGAAAAGAGAACTTTAAAACAACTCAAATCACCATATTCTTCTTTGTAATTCAGTCTTCTTAAATAGAAATTGCTTTTATTAATGTTAATTTTTAAACAAGCACTAACATTTCTTAGTGCTTATCTGATGTGAAAACAAATAGTAAAATAGAAAATTAGCTGAAG